AATATGAGGCAAAAGAGATGGCTCGAGTTAGTGAAAGACTATGATTGCATCATCAATTACTATCCGGAAAAAGCCAATGTCGTTGTCGATGATTTGAGTAGAAAATCCGTAGTAACGTGCACGCAATCCGATTCTTCGCTTACGAGAGAATTACGAAGTTGGAATTATAGATCACCCCTATGGGCTACAAGAGCGTTATGTTAGCCATGTTAGTCCAGATCGACCTCGCAAGAAAGAATTCAAACTAGGCAACAAACGGATGAAAGGTCGAAGGAATGGAAGAAAAATAGAGAGGCTGGAAAGGAGTCCGACTTTACAATAGATGATAAGGGAGTGGTTAGATTTAGGGAAAGATTGTGTGTTTCATCGATTGCGGATTTGAAGGAAGAAATCCTAAAAGAGGCATACGCATCCTCATACTCGATGCATCTCGAAGTATTAAAATGTATCGAGATTTGAGATAAAGTTATTGGTGGTCGAGACCGAAGAAAGACGTGTCGAACTATGTGGCGAGGTGTCGGTCTTGTCAACAAGTGAAGGTAGAACATCAATGACCTATAGGAATGTTACAACAACTCGGCAATTCCGGAATGAAAATAGGAGCACATCACTATAGACTTTTTCATGTGATTGCCAAGGTCGAAAAAGGGGCAAATGCAATTTGGGTGATCGTGGATAGGCTAACCAAATTGGCACACTTCTTTCGGTAAGGACCACTTATAGCTCGAGCCGGTATGCCCAATTATATCTTATGAAATCGTGAGACTTCATGGAGTTCCAATCTCAATCGTGTCGATTGAGATCCTAAATTCACTACAACATTCGGAAGAGTTTTCCTAAAGCCATAGGGACAAGGCTAAACTTTAGCACGACTTACCATCCACAAGCCGATGAACAATCTAGACGGGTCATTCGGATACTCGAAGACATACTGCGAGCATTCGTTCTTGATTGGCTCGAAAAAGAAGAAGTACGTACGCCTTGTAGAGTTTGTCTATAGCAATAGCTATCAATCATCCAATAGGATGACACCCTATGAAGCTTTGTATGGACGATGATGTAAATCCCCAATACACTTAGGATGAAGTAGGGGAGAGAAAGTCATTGGGCCCAAAATTGGTGCCACAAACAATATGGTGGCTAAGATTCGCCAACGGATGAAGACGACCTAAAGTAGACGGAAAAGCTACACCGATATGAGAAGAATAGATATGGAGTTTACGAGTGGTGATTATGTCTTCTTAAGGGTTTCTCCGATGAAGGGCGTACTCGTGATTTAGGACGAAAGGCAAATTAAGTTTATGCTATATTGGACCATTCGAGATATTTGATCGCATAGGCGATAAGGCCTATTATCCGTTGCTATCGTCAACCTTATTAGGAGTACATGATGTCTTTTATGTATCCATATTAAGAAAATGTATCGGAGAGCCTAGTCGGGTTTTGGAGGTAGTGCCACCGAACTTGACCTCGGACTTAACATACAAAGAAAGACCAATCAAGATTCTCGATCGACGACTTAAACACCTAAGGAATAAAGACATTGCCCTAGTTAAAGTCTTATGGGAGAATCATAACCTCGAAGAAATGACACGGGAACTAGAAGAGGAAACGAAAGAGAAATACCCGGAGCTATTTGTGTAACCTAATTTCGAGGACGAAATTCTTTTAAGAAGGGGAGAAAGGTAAATCCCATGAACTTGCTTATCGTAGATATACATACCGATATATTATATCCGTATATATATAGAAACTATTAAGTGTGATTAATATTTGGAGATAATAAAATGCCTTATGTTATGTGAGGAGTTATGGGATTAGAAAAAAAAATAATAAATAAATTTTTGACATATCGAAATTTAATTCCCGAGCTCAAATATCTTTTGAAATATCCATAATTATGTGGGTATAATTTATGTGTCATTTTCTTTTATATTTGGGGTGTTAAAATATCTAAGGTTTATGGAAGTATTTATTGAAATACCCTTTTTAGGAATTTAACTAGCTATTATTTATTTTTTTCATAATGTTATATTTAAAATGACCATGCAAGTAAAAGAATTACCTAAACAAGGTGCATGGCCAAAATTTAGGAACTAAATGGGGTAAGGAAGTTGGTTAGTTTAGTTACCTTTTTAGTTCTCATATTTAGTACTTGATTTGACACCAAATCTACCACTTTTTCAAAAAGTGTGACACTTAGCCCACTTGAATTTTTAAATGGTCAACTTGTTCTTCCTTTTTTCCCATCATTTGACTTCATTTACCATAAAATTTTAACACTTGGAAGGTTAATAAATGAAGGAAAAAAGGTGTGGTATAAAAATGAACGGAAAGCTTAAAACTTTGCCATTTTCTTTGCAAAATTGTAGCTTCTATAGTGAGAGGAGAGAGACGACGTTCCGAAGGAAAGAAAGAGAGAAAAGAAAGGAGAAAAAAACGAAGGAAAAATCTAGGAATCTTAAGCAAGCTTATATCATTGTAAGTAGGTTTCTTTTGGTTTCATTTTATTTTTATTTATGCTTTAAGTTCTCTTTTACATGTTTGATTTATGGGTTTTTGTTTTAAGCCATGTAATATGTTATTATGATGGTCTTGTGATGATGTATGTTTTGGTGTTGTGATGGATATCATATGTTTTTTTGATGTGCATTTCATAGTGGACTTTGTGTTATGATGCACAAGTATGATGATGGATGGTTAACAAGTTGATGTACCCTTATGAGATCCATATGTGATGGATGTTTATGTATGTGTGAATGGGTTTGGTTTGATGACAATCATATGGGTTGGAAGATGTATGTGTGGATGGGTTTGAATTAAGATAAAATGAGCTTGGACTAAGATAAATGAATTTGGATTAAAATAATTGGACTTGGATTAAAACCATGGGACTTGGATTAAAAATAAGATAGGCTTGGATTAAAATAAAGTGGGACTTGGACTAACATAAATGGACTTGAATTAAAATAAGATGGGCTTGGATTAAAATAAAGTGGGACTTGGACTAAAACAAATGGACTTAAATTAAAATAAGATGAGCTTGGATTAAAATAAAATGAGACTTGGATTAAAACAAAAGGGTTTGGATTAAAACAAAATGAGCTTGGATATCTTAAGAACACTTATTGGGCCTTGGTACTAAAATGACTAAGTTTGATTTATGTTTATGGATCTAAAGATCTAGACTTCCAAGGTAATCCACTTAAGTTTAATTTAGTATATTAAGATGGAAAGAAAGGACTTAGGAACAAAAGACAATCCTTTACCTCTAATTAACCCATTCAGATCAAAAATCCTAGAATTTAGGTTTTGAATATCATTCACCCAAATTATGAATAAATGGTTTAAATATATATAAATAAGTATAAAATAAAATATAGAAATTTTGGATCCTAAGAAAAACAAAAATTTTGGTTTGTAATAGGAAACACTCAGCTTACACCCTACTTTTGGAAATTGAGTTGCCACCACCCAAATTCGGGAGTAAAGGTTTAATTGCATCCTAAGGGAGATAAAATAAAGTATTAGAAGAAGAGAATTCAAGAAAAACCAAAATTAAGACCTGGACCCACTAAAATTATAAGTCGACTATTAAGGCTCAAATTAATTACCATTAAAGCTAGGACTAACATATGGTATTTGAGTAAACCTAATGGATGGGTTATGTATTTTGTACGAAACTACTATGAAAATATTGGTGAAGCCCCAAGTGTGGATTGAATTTCTAAAATTGTATGGATATAAATAGTTTGGTGCCTATGAGATATGGAATATGGCTCATAATAAATGAAATGAATTAACCCTATTAGACGGGTCTTGAATTCCTTGTGTGAACTAAATGGTATGGAATCAACGGGTTTAATACCCATGGCATGATGGAATGTGGTTCATGATACATCACTTGCATCATATGCATATGGGAATGGATTAAATTGAGAATACCATTAAGTCAAAAATTATAAGGTTTGGTAACCGAATCGAATAGAAATTGGATAGGTTTGGTAACCTATTGGATAAAAAGGGTATTAACGATCCGAGTTGTGTGCGTACTCTAAGTCGTGTGCTCGCACTTGTTAGACGATGGATTTTCACTAACGGTGGCTACAAAAAAGGATAATTTTGTTGTTAGCGGAAAGTGAATCGATCATCACCTGGATTAAAAATAGAGTAGACTACTCTAAGTCGTGTGCTCGCACCGTTAAATGATGGACTCCGCTAATGGTGACTACAACGAGGGATAATTTCATTATTAGGAGAAGGTGAATCAATCATCACCTGGATTTAAAAATAGATTAGACTCGTTAATACCTAGGGTATCCGAAATTAAAATTGGATGAGTTTAAGTAGGAGAAGTTAGAAAATCATTATATATCACATGCATCACCCTAATTAATGAGCTTCGACTCACTCGGTGTTTATTTCATGCTATGATAGGTAAAAGTGATACTAATGTTGATAATGAAGTCATCGGTTCCTCTCGGAAAAAGGCTCATATATGACACAAAAATTATAGGATCCACCTTTACTTGTAAATTATATTTTGTAATTTTTGTAATGATATTTAGTACATTGTGTATGTGTATAGGATTAAATTTGAGATTTCGATCTCTAAGCCGTGGTGCATCCAGCCAAGCCTTTTAGCTAATCGAGAAGGGAGTCGGGGGCACCACGGCTTTTGATCGAGTATGTCCATCCATGCTGAAGCAGTGCTAGTTAGTTACTTATACATGCAATGCTGAGAATGTCAGGGATCAAGCTGTGGAAGGAAGAAGGACAAACATCAACAAGCAAAGCCAGTGGAACATAAGCACTCCTGGTTTACTCCCCCAAACTGACATATACATGACACAAGAGCATGCACACCCAAGCTCCTTTGTGGCCTTGCATGTGGTTGACGTAGAAATGCAACAAAAGAGGATTTTCTACAAGAGTATGACACTTTAAATACTTGTGGGTTGATACATGGAACTCCTAGTAGTATTGGGGCCAATATTATAATGGTGGGGCAGATAGACTCAATACCTGGTGTAAATCCATATAGTGGAGAAAATAACAGAAATAAAGCTGTTGTAAGGAGAGAGGAAAGCAATGACACTCAAACACTTTTGAACAGATGCACTTACACTTCCCTTTTAGATCTCCAAGCTAGTGCAGACGTACTACAAGAACATACATCCCCAAACTCCTTTGTTGCGTTGCATGAGGAGGACGTAAAAAGTCAACAAAGAGAGGAAATGCTACAAGAGCATGATACACTAAATGCTTGTAATTCCTTGCATGGAATTACTACTGATACAGGGGCTACGTTGGCTTTAGTAGGGCAAGTAAGCTTGGTTTCTAATGGCTTCTGAGAAAAAAATGGATGTTACAAATTCAGGAATCCCAATGGAGAGTATGCTACAGGAGCATGCATCGTCGATTGTATGGGATCCTTTACATATCACGTCTGCCATCTCTATGGATGATTCTACCTTAGTTGATCAGATAGGTACTGAGCTTTCCCCTCATGCTGTATCTGAAGGTGGTCTGGGTATAGAAAAATGAGCAGGAGCAGAATATCAAAACTGCTTAGACTCATTAAAAAAAACAAGGTAAATTTTCAAATAAAAAATAAAAGAAACAACTCCTAAAGAGCCTAGTTCTACACAGTAGGAGGAACGTGTCTAGATCGGATGGAGATCGTAATAGAGAACCACCTCTCTCTTTACCATATGTGTAGCTTAATATGGAATATGAGGGGTACTTGTGCTTTGAAAAAGAAGAGATATCTTAGGAGTTTGGTGCGTACTCATCGAATTTCTCTTCTTGTTATTTTAGAACCTAAGTATTCATGTCTAATGCTGCCTTAATTTGCTAGATACATGCAATTCACTGGCTTTGCTCATGGGAGTCCTACTAATTCCCATATTTGGATTCTATGGAAGGATACTTTTTCTGTATCTCTACAGTTTGTGTGTTCTCAGTCTAGTACCTTTGAAATAAAGGAAATGGGTAATGGGTTTAAGTTTCTCTTCTCAGTAGTATATGCCATTTGTGACAGGAGAGAGAGAAGATGCTTATGGGATAACTTGCACTCCCTTCATGTTTCTATGTCGTGGGTTGTTAAGGGTGATTTTAATGCAATTACAGATCCCATGGAGAAAGCAGATGGTATCCAGCAAAGCAACAGCTCTATGTTCGACTTTAATTATGCTATTCAACTATTAGGTATTCATGATATTGGTTTCAACGGCAATAAGTTCACATGGTGCAACAACCAAGAAGGAATGTCACATATTTGAAAAAGATTGGATAGGGTCTTCGTTAACCAACACTTTGTTTCCTCATTTCCAAATCTACAGTGTGAATACCTGGCTAGAGTGCACTCAGATCACTGCCCACTTTTGCTTTTCTTTTCAAAGGATTCTCCAAGACTGTCAAGATTCGCCTTCAAAAAAATATGGACTTCCCACAATGACTTCCTTTCCTTTGTCTACAGGAACTAAACCTCCTTCCACTGCACTAAGCCATTCCTTAACCTCCATCTTAAGTTAAAAACGTTGAGGGGTACATTGAGAACTTAGAAATAGAGTGTTTTTGGTGATATTAACGTTAGGATTAACAAGGCTAAAGATGACCTTATTCATGTAAAGGCCTTGTTACAGTGTAATTGGACTGAGGAGAATGTCAAGAATACTGATGCAGCGAAGAGCCTCCTATCAAGTCTGGTGGAACAGGAGGAACAACTTCTTCAAGAAAAATCTAGAGTAAAATGGTTGGAAACAGAAGATCACAACTCTAAATTCTTCCATGTTAGTGTTCAAAATAAATCTGCCAAAACCAAATTCTCACTCACTTTAGAAGATGGGATAATTTTCTCAGAGGATTCATTTATAGGCAATGTAGTAGTAGACTACTTTCAGAAGATTGTCACCAGTGACCAAACAGATATGTCAGACTCCTTCCTCTAGGTAATATCACCAACCATTACCCCTAAGCAGAATGTTAGCTTAATGGCCATACCTACTGTTGAGGAGATCAAAAATATTATTTTTTCTATGGATGAACAAAGTGCTCCTGAACGTAATGGTTTCATTGGCGTTTTCTACAAAACGTGTTGGGATATAATATGTAGGGATGTGGTTTGTGCAATCCAGGATGTCTTTAAGGGCGGTCCAATTATAAAGGGGGTAACAATTATAACTTTGGTTCTAATTTTCAAGTGTCCTAAGCCAACTCACTTCTTAGATTTAAGACCTAGAAGCTTATGCAACTTCTCCTATAAGATACTCTTTAGAATCCTAACAAATCGACTGAGCAAAATTCTCCCAGCTTTGATTTCTCCATAAGAGTTTGGCTTTATGAAAGAAAGGGCTATTCATGAGAATGTTACCCTAGCTCAGGACCTGATCAATGATATTGATAAGAAAGTCTTGAGGCGTAACATTATCTTAAAAGTGGATGGTTAAAGCATACGATCGACTTGAGTGGAGCTTCTTTCTTAAAGTTATGCAATAGTTTAGCTTCTCTCCTAATTGGTGCAACTTAATATATAGTTTTTAATGTAACTATTAGTATGTTAAGCTTAAGCTCAAAGCTATATGGATTCTTCACAGAGAGGGGTAAGACAAGGAGACCCCTTATCTCCAGCTTTCTTTATTCTCGCACAAAAGGTGTTTAGTAGACACTTGAATGTTCAAATTACTAATGGTTCCATGTTTTCCTTTTACACTGGTAACCGAACCCTCACTGTCTCTCATTTGCTCTTTGATGATGATATGCTTCTTTTTGGCAATGGAGGGAAGCAAAATTTAGATAAGATCATGTCACTACTAAAAGAATACTCTATTACATAATGGATAAGCCATCAACACTAGTAAGAGTTTCATTTATTGTAGCTCTAAACTTCCAACGAACAGGAAAAATCTCCTTAACCTTTGAATAGGTTTCAAGTTAGCAACTGAAACTATAACATACCTGGGCATGCCATTATTTAAAGAACATTCTCGTAATGAGTTTTTTATAAAACTAGAATAGAAGATTAAGGATTGTTTGGCAAGGTGGAAAGGGGAAGCTTTTGTCAACTGGAGGGAAACTGACTCTGATAAACAATGTTTTAAACTCTAGACCCATTTATGTAATGGGTGTTCTACCTATTCTTAAAGCTACTTTGGCTAGGATGCAGGGATATATTTCTAACTTTTTTTGAAACAGTGGTGGAGACAATAGGCGTCACTAGTTAAGTTGGAAGAAATTTTCGTTCCCTAGGCAAGAAGGTGGTTTAGGGGTTAAGGACCTGGGAACAATTATGCATTCTTTAAATGGTAAGTTGGCATGGGCATATCTCACCAGTTCTTCTCTATGGAGCTCTTTTGTGAGGTCTAAATATGGGAATCCTTCACTACTGGATGCAGGTAATCCTAGAAAAGGATCTTTGGTATGACGTACTCTCCTCCCTCACATTCACTCTCTCATTAGTAGCTCCATCTGGGTTGTTGGTAGAGGGAATATTAGGCTGTGGTAAGATAAATGGTGTGAGGTTGATTTACTACTTTCGAATGCACCTAATCTGGATATTACAGTAGCTCAAGCAAAAAAGGATCCTTCTATTTACCAAATGCTACCGGTATAGGTGAGACAGGAGCTAGACTTGTTGCATCTAGATGATAACTCACCAGACAATCTGTGTTATCGAGGGTCGAAAACTAGTCTGTTTAATTTGAAAGATTACTATGAAGCTCACAGAGATACTGCTCCCAAATTTGAATGGTGGCGTTGTTTATGGAACAAATGGCTGCCTAAAAAAATTGAAGTCTTTGTTTGACGATTCCTTCATAATGCAGTAGCAGTGTATTAAAACATTCAAAAGTGTGGTATCTCACTAGTTTTTAAATGTCTCTGTTGCAGATCTAGTCAAATAGAATCAACGAATCACCTCTTTCTTCATAGTGAAATAGCAGGTATGCTTTGGTCTTTATTTGGTAATATTTTAGAAGTGGCTCCTGGTTCTGTCATTATTAGATAACTGGTATCAGCTTGGCTCCCTAAAGGTAACTTTGTTGCTCAGAAACCTTTTTCTCAAATGATTTGTTTCAATTGTCCGGTGTGGGAGATATGGTTAGCTAGAAACGGGGCTACGTTTGAGGGGAAACTCATGAATTTAGTATCAATCAAACATAAGGTATTCCATTGGCTCAATTGGCTCGGTGAATTGTCGAATTTGTTTAAGCCAAGGCATGAAATGTCATTCCATGATAAACTTTGCATTAGTGCTTTGGGTATACAAATACGATCCATCGGTCCTATTAGAGGCAGTTGGGTCCGATGGCAACTCCCCTTATTGGTAAATTGAAGTTAAATATAGATGGAGCCTCTAGGGATAATGTCTATACTAGTGGTGGCATATTGAGAGATGAGAGAGTGAATCTTGTTATGGCATACTCTAGGTTTTTTAAGACAAGTATTAACTCAAGAGGTGAAGCTTTAGCTCTTTTAGAAGGCTCGCGATTATGTAAATTGCATAATCTCTCTCTCGATATAATAGAAGGTGACTTAGCTATGATATTAGGGGGTTGTCTTACGCATTTTTAATTCCTTGGCGACTAACCTACATCTTTAGAGAGTGTTGGGCAATCAATTCTCATTATATTACGATTCGAGCACATTCACGAGAGAAGGAAATATTGCAGTGACAAGCTTGTAGTTTGGGCTTTTCTTCATCACACAAGGAGAATCACTTTTACGATGTAGGAATTACCTTTGTCTTGTCGCAAAGCAATATTAGATGACAGGAATGGTATATTCAATTATTGTTCAAGTCTTAATTAGTTTACCTACCTATAGTTAGAGTTACGATTTAGAGAACTTGGAGTTCTTTTGTTATGTTTAAGAGCTTTTTGTTCGGTTTATCGGGTATCTTGTAAATGATGTTTATTGAGTAACGATTAGGTTTCTTTGTCCTTCCAAGTATATTGGGCTAGGCTGGAGTTATCCTCCCTTGTTCTTTTTCCACTTTGATATTAATATATTTCTACGGTGCACGCCTCTGTTCCAAAAAAAAAAAAAAAAAAAGAACACCCAACATTGATATTGGATTCAAGTTTCGATAATCCAAAATTATTATTATTTGAGCTTGCATCAACAGATAGCAATTAACTGAAACTTCTAAATAATTTCCTCTTAAGTGATATGATCATTTCCACATATGTTAAGTAATCATAACTTTTTAATCTCTTTATTTATTTATTTATTTATTTGCTGATGTACAATGCATATGGTGCCTTTGGCAATTTCAGAGGGTCAGTCCATCAACTAAAAAAGTAATTTCAAATTTAGCAAAGATCATCCCCTTTACAAGGCAAGAGATCAGTTTGGCCAAATATTATTTCTTTTATATTTGCGGCTCAAGCTACAAGACACATGCCTTTGAATGGTCACGTTCACATTTCATATCCCGAAAGCAAAATTAGTAAAGCGATCAAGTCTCATTTGTTTTCATTCAAATAATCATCATTTGAATTGAATTTATTATCTGTTTGGTTCGGTAATCCATTATTTATAAGTTTATCAGATGTTGAATTCTAAAGTCAAGCCAAAAAAATACAGGCATGGTCTACAACTGTTTCGGCTTGATGTCCCGATTTCCCGACTCCCCCTTTACACTGTTTCAAAAAAAAAAAAAAAAAAAAACCATTTTAAAATATAAAGGAGATTTTTTGAGAAAAAGGTATTAGAAGACCAATACCTTAGTACAAAATGCTTGTTTTTACTCCAATAATCCAAGTTGAATTGAATTTATTTATATATTAATTTGGATCCATGCAATCCATAATTTAGTTTTATTATTATATAATTTTTTTAATTTGATGTAAAAATATTTTCGAATCATTTTATATATTTATTGAAACTAAATAATTGATTTGATGATTTTGAATATGTATCTTCAGATTAAATTGCTCATCGAGCGATTTTAAAGACATACTAGTCACGTCGGCTTAATGGATCTAAAAGACTTTAGTAAGTTTTATTTTAATGTTGATTCTAAGATTTAAATTTAGAAAGTTAAAGAATGAGACGAACTTTTTTAACCACCCGAGTAAAGTCAAGTCAAATTCAAGACATAAAGGGAAAAAGAAAGGTAAATGGATAGACTAAAAGGGGTATCATCAATTAGAAACTAGGTAATCACTTCATTGAAGTTTTCCAAGCACATTTATCTGATATAGATAAGTGGATTCGCCGGTACTTAATTGTATTTTGCAACAAGCACTCCCATTTTCATGGCATGTCTAAGATGCTACCGCAATCTTCTCCTTGTCCTCTTACTATGCACGTTAATTTGCCTACTTATCATTACTTCAGATGCAGATTCAAGCGTAAGTCTTTCCTTTCCTTCTCTTTAATTTCCAAGCTCAATGCATCTTTCGTAGATATCAAGAAACAAACAAAAAAAAAAAAAGAATTTTAAATTTGTGGTTGGTTGAATATTCCAGTGGCCTTCAGCTGATCATAAGACGTACAAGGCTGCTACAGAAGAAGCTACAGCTCGTAAGAGATACAAGGATGCACAGAACTGGCTAAACCATGGAGGAGATTTATACAATAGAAGATATGCTAACAAGGAGACCAAGATAAGTCCTGAAAGTGTTTCCAGGCTAAGTTTGAATTGGGAATTCTATGCTGGAAAGGATATATCAGCGACACCAGCAATTTTCCAGGGTACCCTTTATTTCCCAAGCTGGAATGGATACATCTACGCAGTTAAAGCATGTGATAGATCTCTTATTTGGAAGCAGAACTTGGAGAACCTAACTGGGATTGTTGTTACAAGTGCTTTCGCCTCTCTTAACATCTACTCTTCTGTCTCAAGGTCAACCCCTACAATAGCTGGTAATCTACTCATCTTTGGGCTTTATTGGCCTGGTGTTATTATTGCTGTCAAGAGATCAACAGGGAAGCTTGTATGGATTACTCGGATTGAAAGCCATTTGACCAGCGTCATCACCATGTCTGGAACTTATCACGAAGGGTTAGTCAATCTCACTTTAGCCTTCTCCATGTTTTTCTTGCTATTTTCAGGCCATCTTCGGAGAAAATAACATTTTATGAATGCAAAAGCTTGTCATGTGGATAGTCCTCTTAAAATATGATTTGGTTAGAGTGCTAATTGTGTACCGAGGCATGGGGAAATTACATAAGAATATGTTAATGAATTGAATTATTCAGGTCAATAATATATCATAGTATTTAAATGATATCTGAGTCCCCTTTAATTTTCCAGAAGAGTTGAGTTGAAGGCACAAGATGCCACGCATATGCCCATTTTTTTTTTTCTTTTTATGTTTTTGAGAATCGCATATGCTCATATTACTTTTGAATCATACGAACTACCCAGTAGTTAATTTCTTTTCGTTTTTGTTCTATGCATGGATTTTAATCCATCATAAGTTGTTTGTTTTATTAGTTTAAACATTGGGAAAAACAAAGTTTTGTCCTCCAACTATATCCTATATGACAATTAAATGCTTAATGAGAGCAGTTTGGTCCTCGATTTATCTAAGATTACCGTGTACATCTAAAATCTTTATTAAGCTAGTAAAGAAAAAACGCCAAAACCCTAAATGGAACTGTTTTTATCAAAATAATAATAAAAATTAAAAGTTTGAAACACCCATTTTCACTTTCAGTTTGTTTAAAATGTAATTCTATAAGATATTTTAAAGAAATTTAAGAGTAAATTGTCAATATAAAGAGAAACAGATTATTAAAACATTAGTAATGATTGAGAAAAAAGCATGGAGGGTAAAAGGGTAAAATTGATTTGGCCATTTTGAGGATAAATTTTACCCTCCCTTTTTGCCACAGAACGTCCATAAATTTTAAAAGAGTAAAATTTAAGGCTTTTATTCCCATTCCAAACATACTCTGAAATTTGTAAACAACAAACTACTACTTCTTTCTATCAATTACTTGTTCTTCAATTTATTGAACTTGAACCTCATAATAATAAAACGAATTAAAAATAAAAAAGTTATTTTTAATACAAAGTATTTGTAGATAAGCATTGAATTCAATTGAGATTTTTTTGGATTGGGGATAGATGGAAGAGCAATATGTCCTTTCCCTTAACTTTTCAGACTTCATGGAAATCAACAGGTTTCAAGCTTAACTATTCTCAACCTTGAATCTGTTCCAACTTTTGTAGGAGCTACTACATTGGTGCATCTTCACTAGAGGAAGGTGCAACAATCGACCAATGCTGTACTTTCCGAGGAAGCCTTGTCAAATTAGACAGCAAAACTGGTAAAATCCTATGGAAAACCTATATGTTGCCCGACAATTTCAACAAAACTGGAGGTTATGCCGGAGCTGCTATCTGGGGAAGCAGCCCATCCATTGACAGACATAGGAACCTTGTTTTTGTTGCCACTGGTAACTTATATTCTGTACCACTTAACGTGAGCCAATGCCAGGATAAGGAAAATAATCAGACAACACCTAAACATCCCGATGAGTGTTTGGACCCTGATAGCCATGCAGAATCGATGTTAGCACTTGATTTAGACTCTGGCAAGATCAAATGGTACCGTCAGCTAGGGGGTTATGATGTATGGTTTGCAGCATGCAGCGTTATAAATTTTACATCTCCGGACTGTCCAATACCAGGACCAAATCCAGATGCCGATTTCGGAGAGGCACCAATGATGCTAAGTATACACCTCAATGGAACAAAGAAAGACATTGTCGTTGCTGTTCAGAAAAGTGGCTTTGCCTGGGCTTTGGATCGTGATAACGGCAGCCTAATTTGGTCAATGGTAAGATATACAAATAACTCAGTCACGTCATGAACAATGCGAATGGAGCCATCTGATTTTGATCTTAAAAATAGTTTGGAGATCAGCGCATGCAGGAAGCTGATTGTTCAACCATAGTGGCTTTCTGAACAACTTGGCTAATTAATTAAACATAAACTATACTTGAATGCAGGAAGCTGGACCTGGTGGACTTGGAGGAGGGGGTACATGGGGATCGGCCACAGATGGAAAGAGGGTAGTTTACACGAACATTTACAACAGTGATCGCAAGAACTTCACTCTGAAACCATCTAATGAGACCACAACTGCCGGTGGGTGGGTCGCACTCGATGCTAGCAATGGCCAGGTTCTATGGTCTACCGCAGATCCTAGCAATGCCACTGCCCCTGGCCCAGTTAGCTTGGCTAATGGTGTCCTATTTGCTGGTTCCACATTTCGAAAAGGACCCATTTATGCAATTGAAGCAAAGACAGGAAAAGTCATATGGTCATATCAAACAGGAGCCACGGTGTATGGTGGTGTTTCAGTCAGCAATGGTTGCATTTATCTTGGTAATGGATATAACGTTAGCCTCGGAGTTCTGAATCCTTCATTTACCTCAGGGACCTCACTCTTTGCATTCTGTGTCTCCTGATGGCCTTGGATACAATCAATTACCTGAACTTTATGGTCTTATGTTGTTCCATTTTCGTCCTTCACTACTAATCATAGCTAAAGTTATTATAATAAATGAAAAAAACAGCAAATCAAAGTTACATATTTGAAATGCGTTCAATTTAAATTACAACAGTACTTGTCCGAAAATCAATTTTTATTGGTATATGAGTGATGATGTAGTCCTTAATTCTGATGATTACATTAAACCTAGCTCTTTTTTCAATGGAGAGCTTGAGGTAATGGATTCTAACAACAGATTTTGGCATAACGAAGAGAATTGTAGGCATATGAAGAGCATTATTCTATATATTGGCAATTACACAGGATCATCTGTGATTAATGCCGTTATGATGGATGAAAAAATTAGACTTGACAGAAAACTGACTGATCATTACCAACCATGAATTGGGAAGGACATTCGTCTTAATTAGGCTGTGTTTGTTTAGGAAAAAACAAGTTCAATAGGAAAATCAATTCCCGAAGAAGCTATTTTCTAAAAAATTGTTTTCTAAAAACATATTTTTAGCTCGTTTGGCAATTACATGAAAAAATTATTGAAAAACATATTCTAACGTTTGTTTGATAAAGAAAATTAAAATACAAAAACATTTGTGAATGTTATATCAACAAATTTTGAGAAAACTTCAAAAAGACATATTTATGATTTTATAATATAAGATAAATTTAGAAACATTTAATAAATTTTCATAAATATTAACTCTAAAATTTTAATTCAAAAAATAAAATGTATTTTTTTAACCATCAAACCAATTCATCAAAGTTACTTGGGAAAAAATCAAATTAATATTCACATTTAGTAAAAAAAGATTTTAAGTAATCCTAGCATTATTATTTTGATAACTCAATTAAGAATTTTTTTTTTTTTTTATAGAAATTGAACTGATAATTTAGTCTGAAAAATAATTTTATAAATTATTAGTTATCATTTATAGATAATTATTCATTTGGTCTCAAAAGATCAATGTTGGAATAATTTGTAACTAATTATTCACTACAATTATCAACAAAATTTTACAATTAATTGAATTATAAATTATTGATTTAATTTCAAATGAATAGTGTTGAAAAAATAATGTATTTATTGATGAATTAATTAATTTTAATTTTTTTAATAAAAAAATTATAGTCTTGTAATAATCATTTCCATCATTTAAGTATAGTTTAAATGGTGTTTGAAATAATAGTAAAAAAAATAGAGATAAATTATTAAAATATTTATTATAAAAATAATTTTAAGGTGTAAAAAATGATTTTAAAGAATATTTAATGTATCTATAAATAAAAAAAAATCAAATATTATTAAAAATAGAGAAAATAATTAAATAATTAATAATAATTAATAAGGAATAATTAAAAATTAATCTGATATATTTTCAATAAAAAGAACATAGAGAAAAAAATTGTTAAAATATATCGAGAGAGAAGTAAGTAACGTGAGAACAAGACAACTCATGAGAAGGACAATGTTTTTCTATTTTGAAATTAGGAAAATATTTTTCTAAAAATACTTTATTATTTTTCGTTGATTGAAAATTATTTTTCATTGACTTTTTTTCTAAATGTAAAATAAATAATGAAAAATAAGGAAAACAAGTCCGAAGCAACCATTCAAAGCTTGATGCTTCCCCGCTAAGAAAACAAACTCAACTCTTTTGAAAATAGAGGAAACTAGCCAGTTGCTCGCCCTATGCTTCGTGGTCCGAGTAGAATAAAATTATTTTAAAAATTTTATTTCTTTAATTATAATATTAATTTAATTAATTTTTTCTAATGCTTTTATAAATTATCTACTTAAAACAAATAAATCATTATTCTCTATGCATTGATTTTAAAATTAAAAATTATAATAATTTTAACTAAAATATTAATCAAAAATTGAAAAAAATTTTAAAATATAATTTTTACAATATTGTATTCTTAAAAATGTTACAATTAATGGACATATTTTAACAAAAATTAACAAATGAAATTTTTTTTTGATTTAATGTTGATGAGAAAAAATAATTTTTGAAATTATTCACGCAACGTTATTGGTAAATAAAACAAAATTATTTCAAAATGTAATAATTTTTTTATTTAATTATTACTATTTTTTTTCATAAAATTTCTACTTAAAAAGCATGATTTATTCTTCTTTATTTAGGAATTATTAAATAAAAACTTGTAATAATTTAAACCTAAAAAATTAATTAAGAATTCAAAAAAAATACTTTAAAATTATATTTTTTATAAGAATGAATTAAAAAAAATAAAATTACAATTAATGTATAGACTTGCATAAGAATTAACCAATAAAAAAATAAAATTTTATTCTTATTTAATGTTGGTGAGAAGATTATTATTATTATTATTATTTAAGTATATGCATTTGATCTATATATATTTATTGAAAAAATAATCAATAAAATTAGCATAAAAAATAATATTTGAATAATTGATTGGTTCATTTAAAAATTATTTTAATTATCTTATTTCGAATAAATTGGTTCTATAATGTTAAAAAAATATTTATAGTAAATAATTTGTATTATGTTGGAAGATATATAGTTAATTTTTAATAAAATGAATGATTCAATAATTTTTTTATATGTCTTGACCATATCTAGTGAACTGAGATAAATTATTTGAAATACACTTTTAACCTTTAAGAATAAAATAATTATATATATATATATATATTATACCAATTTATTTTTAAAAAAAGAAAAAACAATTATGTTTTAAAATTTTATTCTAAAATTCAAACATAGAGAAAAATAAATTATATAATATCAGTAAATAAAATTTCATATAAAAAATATTAATTGGATGAGAATTTTTATAAAAAAAATGATAAATTCAAAAAATAAAATTTAAATAATAAGAGTAATTTAAGCTGAACTATATTTTAATTTCAAAATATAAAAAGATATATTATATGATCATCAATTTATGTGGAAAACAGTTATGATTAATTTTTTAAAATTTTAACACCCTATTAAAAAAAAAACATAAATTGATGAAAAAAGCAAAGAACAAATTGATTTTTCAAAATTTTAACATCCAATCAAATAAAAAAAGAACATAAATTGATGGAAACAAATACAAAAAAAACAAAGGAAAAAAAAAGAAAAAGAAAAGGCATGTGTAGTGCATCAATTGAGAGATTAGATATTTTTATTTTAAATTTTTAGAGACTAAAATAAAATAAATTAAAAATTACAAAAAATATTCATTATAAAGATAAAATCAAATATAATAAAATTTTAATCATCAAAATAAAAAAAATTATAAAATAGGGAATAATATGAAAGTAAAGTTTACTAAAAGAAAATGGAGCTTTGGAGAGAGAGAGAGAGAGAGAGAGAGAGAGAGAGAGAGAGAGAGAGAGAGAGAGAGAGAGAGAGAGAGCAGTAATTGACAAAAATCAAATATAATAAAAGTTTAATAACCAAAAGAAAAGAAAATTATAAAAGAGGGACTGAAACGTATGTGAAGTTTACTTAAATGCAAAAAGGCTGTGGGCCTGTAGCTACCATGTTTTATCATTTTCTTTTAGTTTATTTTGTAATAGTGAGTTGATTTTACATCATTCATTACGTGTCCTACATAGCTTTTTTTTCTGTTTCGATGGCTATGTTCACATTCTGACTTCATAAACAAATATATGCCTCTCCTTAGCCTCCCCTTAGTATCAAGCCATGGTCAATAAGGTAGGAAGCAAGTCTTTTTCTTCTGCTTCTCATTGCCGTACTCCTCCCAATATAAAACAGCTCGAATCTGACATAAATTTGTGACGGATATGAGATGCACAGAATTGATTTAGTCAAAGAACTGCACAGAAATGACAGATTTTTGGGCAGAGTATAATTTTTTTTACCATTATATCAACAAGTCTTTTCATTTAGCAGTGCTAGGGGAAATTACTACACTTCAAGACAAAATGCAGGGAATGAAAATGAATGTCTATAATATTCTATTTAAGGCCTTTATGATATAAACATATCCATATACATTTCTTTTAGCAACTCCTTCAAGGTACATAAACAACAGCTCTCACATTTGACATTTCTTGCAAGAACGATCAACTTAAATTCCTACTTCCATGGTACTTCCTGGAGCAAAAAGTGCCAAGAAGTTTTTGTTCCTTAATCTTTGGATATTTTTCTTGCAGATCATCATAAGCAGCACAGGTTCAGATGTAAGAGTTCTCTCATTCTCCCTCTCTGTCACCTAAAGATATTTGTGCCTGCTTATGATGTCAAGTAACCTAATTTCCAGTTACCATGTACAATTATCGTAGGGACATGGTGAGGGACAGAAGCTAACACAAAACTGGATAAACCACGGTGGGGACATATACAATAGAAGATATTCAAACAAAGAAACAAAGATTAGCCCCAAAACAGTTTCCAACCTGAAGTTGAAGTGGGAATTTTATGCAGGCAGAGATATAACAGCAACACCAGCAATTTTTTATGGTATCCTTTATTTTCCAAGCTGGAATGGCTACCTATATGCTGTTGAATCATCTGATGGATCTCTAATTTGGAAGCAGAACTTGCTAAATTTAACAGGCTTTAATACAACTGGTTTCACTTTTAATGTTAACACAACTGTATCAAGATCAACTCCAACAATAGCAGGAGACCTGCTTATTGTTGGAATATATGGTCCTGCTGTGGTTATTGCTGTTAGACGATCAAACGGGAAGCTTGTGTGGTCAACCAAGCTTGATAACCACCCCACAAGTGTTATCACCATGTCTGGGACTTATTACAAGGGGTTAGTCACTGTTATTTAATCTATATAAACTAGACACGATTTTCATTTTTTGAATACTAAAGTTTATAATCTGCGGAGCAAGGTCATCGCCATTCTAACTTACTGACTGTTATTATTTTTATCAACTGTAAAGTTTGCAAGATTTCCTCTCGTCTATAAATGTCTATTTTTCAGGCTAGTGAAGTGCTCACCCTAAAAGAAAATTTTCCAGTATAAAATTTGATAAGAATTTGTGTCAGTTTCCACAAAGAAAGGCTTTCTGGTAACTTGTACTGCATATTTTCATTACATTCTTCATATAGTCCACTTAATCTTGCAAGCCTCTACCTAATTTACCATGTCTAAAATGGCGGACTTTTCAATATTTTCTAATACCGACTTACGTATGACTTGTGAAGCATATGGATAAGATAAATCAACAAGATGAAAAGAACGTTAGTATGTATCTGATTATAATGCTAATATACTTGCTGATGCCTTGCCTCAAATTTAGTTCTCACAGGGCCTTTTATGTTGGAACGTCTTCACAAGAAGAAAGCGTAAGCATTGAGCAATGCTGCACCTTCCGGGGAAGCTTCTCCAAATTAGATCTCAAAACTGGCAAAATCTTGTGGCAGACCTTCATGCTGCCTGAGAACAATGGAAAGCGTGGAGAATACGCAGGAGCAGGTATATGGGGAAGTAGCCCATCAATTGACAGAACTCGGAACCTTGTTTATATTGCCACAGGCAACCTATATTCAGCACCTCTTCGTATTCGCCAATGCCAAGAAAAGCAGAATAATCAAACTGTACCCAGTAATCCAGATGAGTGTATTGAGCCTGATAATCACTCGAATTCTATCCTAGCTCTTAACCTGGACTCTGGAAATATCAAGTGGTACCAGCAGCTAGGAGGTTATGACGTGTGGTTTTTTGCTTGTAACAATCTTTCCACTCCCAATTGTCCTCCTGGCCCCAACCCAGATGCTGATTTCTCAGAGGCACCAATGATGCTGAGTGTATATGTAAATAGAACCAAGCAAGATATAGTTGCTGCAGTTCAGAAAAGTGGATTTGCATGGGCATTGGATCGCGATGATGGCAACATCATTTGGTCTACTGTAAGTTAGCTTCAGCTTGAACGAATGCACAGGGCATACATTGTGATGCTATGAATGGAATCTGTTTTAGAGCATCAATTAAACTGCCCAAGTAGGCGAAGATTAGATTAGCTCATCATATGACAATTGACTATACATTTTGGTGCCCTTCATAACTAATTCTGATGCAGGAAGCTGGACCTGGCGGTGCTGGTGGTGGAGGCTATTGGGGTGCAGCCACGGACACAAAGAGGGTCTACACCAACATTGGCAACTCTCGAAGCTTAAATTTCACTCTTAAGCCATCGAAAAGGAACACTACAACTGGTGGATGGGTGGCAATGGATGCTCGCAATGGTGACATCCTATGGTCAACAGCTAATCCAAGCAATGCCACTGCTAGTGGCCCTGTTACCGTAGCTAATGGGGTGCTCTTTGCTGGTTCAACATATAAACACGGACCAGTATATGCAATCAATGCCAAAACTGGAAGAATCCTCTGGTCGTATAACACTGGAGCTACCGTATATGGTGGCATGTCAGTGAGTGATGGATGTGTTTATATTGGTAATGGATACGAGGCTAGTTTTGGCTTTGTAATGCCATCCTACACTGCTGGGACTTCACTCTTTGCTTTCTGTATCGTTTGAACTTTTACGGCAAAAAGGAAAATGTTTAAATGCAATAAGGACATCGTCCTTCTCCGACAGAAAAATGTAAAAATTGATAAAAACTGATGAAGAATACGTTGTATGATTTGGATATTCACTACCATAGTACAGCTTGTCACTGATAAATCTATATAATATGTTTTAGTGTTTTTTTTTTTAAAAAAAAGGGTAAAATAGAAATTAATTTACATTGAGAATTTGTTTAATGAAATATGTAATATGAGTAAATGTACTCGTATGCTATAATACTCAAAGTTTTTTTTATCTGTTTTTAGATTTATAATTGCATCTCATCTATTCTTATTTTTTAAAAAAAAATTTAATTTCTTTTTCCAATCAAATTTTTCAACCACGGACAAATTTTTCTGAACGAAATGCCTTTTAGTAAAATGCAAAAAAAAAAAAAAAAAAAAAAAGCCACTTAAAATCATATGACCTGCATTTTTTATTTTTGAAGTCTTTAGATTTTTTTTTTTCAATCAAAGGCATTTCAGTAAAAATAAATTTATATATTCTGAAAAATTGATCAAAATGATAGATTGAATATTTTAAATACTTAAAAAACGAGATGAAATGCGAGTTGAAAATCTAAGAACGAGTTGAGATTTTCAATATTATACAAGGATAAATAGATATATTTACCCATGTAATATTTAATAAAATGTTTATATTCTACAATTGAGTTTAAATATATTCTATTAATATATTTGATTTTGGTCGATAAAAAAATATAAATAATTATTTTCTTTTTTTAAAAAAAAAGTTGAATTAGAAGAGGGTACTAGTCAATTTATATTATAAAAATATTTAATTATTGCAAAAAAATTATTTTGAATAACCATTAATAACCATTAATTATTGCAAAAAAATTATTTTGAATAAATAATAAATAATAAAATCATAAAAAAAGGAAAAAAGGCTGGGCTGGAAGCATAGCCCAGCCATATAAAATACACATGGACCTTGTTGCAAAACAAAATTAAGGTTAGAAATCGTTTTTATTTCTAAGGATCAAAGCGTAAAACAATATACACAATGTTCAAAAAATCACTTATATATATATATATATATATATATATATATATATATATAAAACCACTTTCTTTCAAAAAAAAAAAAAAAAAAAAAAAACAAAAACGATGCGGTTTTGTCTACTGTACTAGAGACTCAGTAACATTGAAACATCATTTACTTTTAGTGTGTTTGTATAATATAATGTTTACAATAGAGTAGAACACTGTAATTCTGCTAGAATCTAACTTTTTGCTGAGACGTTTTTGTCTATCCATTGTCTTTGTTCCCTGTTATCTACCTTATCAATCAATAGCTGTAGTTTTATCACAAGGATCACCGAACAAAGAAGATCAATTTTCGATTTTCAAGTGCAAATGCCCCACGACCAGACCACATCAAAGTAGGATTGGAATGTGCGTGATCACAAAGGTTGTCTTATTTGAAGAAATTCAAAATAAGAGAATTATATTGATGGGTTTTTTTTTTTTTTTTTTTTGCTTGGTAATGAATTATATTGATGTAGTTGGATATTCATAGGTTTACATAGAAAAAAGTTTGGAAAAATCTTATCCAAATTTGTTAATTATAAATATCAACATGGTTTATCCTTAAATTTTTTTTTTTTTTTTTTTTTTTGCTCTTAATTTTTTATAAAAAAATATAAAAAATGTTTTTCCTTCATTTTTCAAGAGAGATTCATTCTTTTTAAAATTTTCATATATTAGTTCTTTTGATTTTTCATAGTCAATCAAATTATTATTTATATACAATTGTTTTTTTAATTTTAAAAATAATTTTTTTTTATGTAGTATCATTATACATTAAAACAATCAAATTTTATAATTAATAAAATACAAATATCTATTGCTTGAATTTGATCATTTGAAATTATCAAATAATTAACTTTAACTAAAAATTTTCTTTTGTCATGTCAATAAATTTATTTTTATGATTTTCAATCATTGAATTTTAAATATAGCTATATTTATTAAATTTTTTTCTTAACTTCACATGTTTTGTAGGATTTTTTTTTTCTCACAATTGACTCAAATATATAATATGCATTCTCTAATTTTATTTATGCTTAGTTTTTTAAAAATATATGTTGAAAAAGTGAAAGTTCTTTTTCAGGGAGAACAAAAAAACAAAAAAATAGTGATAAATTTAATGAACTTTTCTGAAATTATTAAATTGCAACAGATCGGAAACAATTTTTTCCGTAAAACCCATAGAAAATACAAATAAGAGAATATGGAAATATAAAACTTGTCACATCAAATGTTTGCTTCCTTCACAATATTCTCTTCATTATATGTTGTAAATCAGATGTATACTAATGAAATTCCTCTTTCACACACAATTGAGTGGCCAGAGATGAAACAGGAAGGTTCTGCACCAACATTGCCCTTTCTGCTGCCTTAAATTTCACCTTCAAAAACTGCTGGTGCATGAATGGTACTTTCTTATATGTGGATGCTAGAAATGCAAGAAGTGCAACATTCTATAGTCATATGACACTGTAGCCTTAATCATATTCAAATAAATTGAGAAAATCCAGAACCGGTAACATCCAAATGATTGCAACTAACAATAGTCCAAAGGCTTGCATGGTGGAGGTATGCTGATGCAAAGAAGGTTTACACCAATATTACTGGTTCCAACCGTTCTAGCCACTTCTCATTTTTATTGAGAACAAAAGAAGTTCAATATGCTTTGATTGTTGGCACAATTTAGTGAATGGTAGCATACAAGGGACTTGTCTTTTGCAGGATCAGAAGTCATGGGTATAATTTTGTTTGACTGATGCTGACAAGACTAAATCTTGAGGCTAAGTTTGGTCTGAAAATAAATGAATCTGAACTCTCATGAACATTTTTAAAAAACACTAACACTGGTTCTCTGTGTCAGTATCATCCTTGCATGTGGCTCTAAGGTTTCTCACATCTTGAAATCGTATGATATTATAAAAGTGATGAATAAAGAAAATGATGAGGGAAAGTAAAATCATAAATATATGTACTCTGAATATTTTATTTTCGGAACAACATGATTTAAAAGCATTGCAGTGGTTCTTACATCTTGCACAAACAGAGGAAAAAGAGTGATCAAATAAAGCACACATGATGCTGAAAGAAACTGACACCATTAATAATAAAGCCTGAGGTCTTTGACGAAGCATTCACTCAAACAAACACCAAAAGCAAATAAACATGGGAGATCATCAGTACAACAGATACCTTGCCTTTCCTTAAAGCAATTGCTGAAAAAATTACCTCCTCCATGCTGGCTGGCCTACCATCTCTGAAATTGAAATGAATGATCATCAGAAAACCCATTATGCTGAAACTATCAAATTCAATTTGATAGCGCATGCAGAAGATATCTGGTAAAGGAAACTGCGAAGCACACACTGATGTTTTGGTAGATATGCAGGAAGAAAGGAATTATAGTAGTAAAACAAGTCAATAGATTATACTTGCGCATAATAAAAGGGAAAAAAGAACGGTTACATTCTAATATTATTACGCCAACTAGGAAATAGATGCAGTTTGAGAATGAAAAACAGATTACTCCTCAGCCCTCACCAGTTAGAACAGTAGAAAACAAAGGACAAGCAACATATGCTAAAATTTCAATATTCCATGCTTCCAGAACTGGAAGTCTGAAACATGCCCCAAGCCTACCCCGTAAGTGATAAACGCATAACATAACTAATCATCCTTGCGAATTCTTACCATTAACATCTGTGGAGGACAACAATGATCTGTCAACTCTGCTTCTGCCCTTGCTGTTTGCATGAACTATCCTCTGTGTCTGATGTGACACTGAACTCAATTTGCCATCGTTGTAGGCTGGATGTGAATGCCTCCGGCTCCGGATCAAAACATTTTCAACCCCATCTTGGACAATCCTTGGAGATCCTTGCCCTCTAAGTTTTGCTTTTGCAGATTCAGTTGCGGCCATATAGCTTGGAACTGTTGGTGTATTCTGTGAGACATCCTCTTGGTATTCCTGTTTTGCTGAAGAAGATTTTCTCCTCCTAGTTCTCTGATTATCCTTGCTACATTCTTCCTCCTTGGAATTCATATCCTCATCCGCCACGTGAATCTTATCAACACTACTACTTTCCAGAGGATATAACTGAGCAGTAGGCAGATTGACCATTTCCTTTGCTGTCAATGGTTTAGGAGAAGTTTCTGCCTCAAGTTTTTCTAAATCTTTTGTCAATGCAACCATGGGATCACTGATCTTCTTTGAGGAACTATCTTCAACCTTCATGAAAACATCACGAGCAGGAGATCTTACCATCTTCCTCGGGCTTAGCTTTGGTTTTTCAGTCAGAGTTTCCAAGCCATCAAGAGCCATCGGGCTGGATGAAGAGAATTTCCTCAAATTTTTTCTTACCCTCTCAAGTTCACTTGAAGGGTTTTCCTGCATCAATTCTGTTGGATGACTCAAAGCTTTCCTCAGATTGTGTTTAGGCTTTCCAAACTCAGAAACTGAATGCAACGAGTTATTGTCAGCATTGACAGGAGCGATCCTCCACGCACCTCGTTTCTTCCTGCCTTCAGTTTGAATGCTTTGAATGCTGGGCTGCTTTACATTAGACCTTGAGTCAAGGATCTGCTGTTTCTGTGGAAATGGTTCCTGGAAGAGGAATGATGACCACCGTTCAAGCCAGTTCCAAGCAGAGTTTGGTTCAACCAAATCATAATGGAGGCTCAGGGGCGTAGCATTGGATGATGAAGCTAGAAGCTAAAACCAAGTAACATTGAATGCGATCAATTCCTATATCATGTCATATAAGAAAGTAGATTATAGAGCCACAAAAAATGAGTATACCTTACAGATTAAAGCGTTTGTATATAGCTTCTCAGACCTGGTTGCTGTGTATAATCCAAATGGATCAACTTTCTTAGCATCCTGTAGAAGTAAAGCGTAATACATAGACAACACATGAACTTGAAACCATCAAGGTTAACTGTTTATGCTATGCAAAAAGCTTTGTCAAGAAGCAAGAAAATGCAATTGTTTAAATCGAGGAAAGAGGAAAGGATTAAAACATTTCCAAAATCTTATTCTAAAAATCAAATTGCTAGAAGGGGAAGTAACAGGATCTCAGAAAGATAGCCTGCCTTAATGAGCACATGAGAGAGATTGGTGATCATCAGGAAAAAAAAAAAAAAGGAACTAGTATAATAGATTTGTTGTCGGAATAAATCAGGGTTCAGTCAATAATATTCAATAATATTAGACTATTTCTCTGCTTTGATTCACAAAGCAATCAAACAAAATAAATCGTTTAGGAAGAAGGATGACAACATGTAAATACTACATACTATTCCATGACCTCAAAATATTAATTCAATCAAATTGCAGATAGTTTCAATGATCAATTGTAAGGATTTCCATAATGCGGAATGACAGAGATTACAGAATTATTATTACTACTTTTTTTTTTCAAAATAGTTGGTACTTCAAAAGTGAACATATGGATTGAAGACAATTGATTTAGTTGTCTTGCAAGAAATTACCAGAAACCTTCCTGGATTGCCCTTTGTGAGTGTTTCCTGCCCATTATCTAGAACTCTAACGCTTCGTCTCCGGATTAGAGCCTGCAGCTTGACAATTCCTTGCAAGCAGTGCAAAGTAGTAACAGCTTGTCTCCTGACTAAGCGTCCACGAATGACTGCTTGAAGTCTTATGATGCCCTTGAGGACACGAAATGACCTGTGAGCCTTCGCAAATGTATTTGCATTAGCCTTAACGAGGAGAAATTGCATAGCTTGAATAAGGACAAGCTAGAAAAATCTTTTCAATTTAGAAAATCTATGAATTTGTGATAAGCACAAAAACAACAAGCGCAGCAACTTTTGATGCAAAATTTAACTATCACGTTCCCGACAAGCAATCATATAAAGCAGGTATCAGCAATAGCAGAACATAAATACCCTTCTGATATGATCCTTGTTTTCGTATAGTGGCTGAGGAACTCAGTTTTTTTGTACTAATTTGTCAGACTACATTTTGTGTAACATTTTCTTCTCGTTCTCCTCGCATCCTTCCACAGACCCCAATTGAGAATGCAAAGATTTACATGCATCATCAGCTCACATTTGTGGGCCAATGAATAATTTTGGTCTGCATGATCTTCTTAACATGAGATGGTTAAATACACATATTATATCTACAAAACATAATTACCAAATAGCCCCTGAAAGCAGTCTGAACCTTTGTGGCAGCTTGCTCCTGCCTGATGACCTCTGAAGCGTCTGGTGAATCCAACCCCATGGCTTCTTCTGTATCTGCAATACATGGTTCATGCAATAAGACAACATATTCATGTGGGAAGCTGGTTCCTATCTCATTAGATTCTAAGCTTTACCATTTTCATCTGAGACGTGAGATAGTGGATCTGAGATTACAGGACTTGATGCCAAATCAGCAGTTGATCCTCGGGAGGTAGCAATCGCCTCCTTCACTGCAGCTTTCTTCATGAAAAAAGATAGTTTGAAAAATTGTCAATTGAACTCCAGCGTGTGCTCGCACACATGCACACACAAAGCCAGAGGGGGAAGGAAGAGAGAGAGAAAGACTTACTTTTGAAAAGCTAGATTTATATGATTTCTTCCTAAAGATTACAGTCTTGATCCATTTTCCTGCAGATTTTCCCATTGCAGGAATCCTAGATTAAATACAGGGAAACTTGTATCTGAAGCCCTGCATAAAACAACAGAGCTCAACACATACATATCAACAACTTTCAAGATGAAGCAGATCAACAACTGTGTTGAGGAGAAAACTCAATAGTCCATAATTTGGCATCTTGCAACTTCAAGCTCTGCCTACTACTTTTCTACAACTATCCACACAACATCCATTAGCTACATTTCAGTAAACAAAAGCTCAATCTAATTCAAAAACCAATAAAAAGCCTACATGCTAGAAAACAGAAGAAAATTACAGCACAGCTGATTATCAGAAACAAGTCTAAGAGAATCTGAAAATCATTAAAACCCACTTAAGTAATTAAAAAATATTCAGGAAAAGGCAACCCCACTATCTTAAACATGAAATATCAACTGTATACAAGTGGCACTCCATTATATAAAGAAAAGAAAAGAAAAAAAAAAAAAACAAGAAAGCAATTTCATTACATTAGATATCAAAGCAAATTTAATCTTGATATACTATAACTTAAAGAGAATTGGCCCAATGAATGGACCAAGAAACTGCATGCACTAGATGGCCAAACTAAGTTAAATATGAGCACAATGCAAATGCAACTCAAAGAAGAACCCAAAGGACACAGGAAAAGAAAACTGAAATAAAGAAAAGAACTAAAGACAAGGGAAAAAAGAAAACTGAAAGTGGGTATTCGCAGCAATGTAGTTGAGATCTGATGAATACCTGAAAAATGGAGAATGTTGCTGTTGCTGTTGAGTTGAAAAAGAGTGAGTAAATATGACATTTCAGTTGATATATATATATATATATAAAGCTTAAAAGATTGAGAGTGAAGTAATAACCAAAGCTGGCTACTAATTAAATGATGGACCCCTCCCTCTAATTCTTTTAATCTAATCTTAATCTTTTGATTGTCAATTTTTAGTGAAGTTAAGAGACTGGTGGATGGTACTTCAATTGTTAAACTTTGAAAAAGAAAATTCGAAAGGGAAATGCCAACGGCCCATTTTGATTCTTTTTGCCATTTTGCAGTCTACTAAATTTCTACTACTCAACTTGGGAAAGGAATGTATTGGTTGCTTCTGAAAAAAGCAATTAAAAAAAAAAAAAAGGGTATTATATGATCTGTATGTATTCCTATTTCGCTTTGATAAAAAGCATCAAGTAAAAACGTAAAAGAGAGAAGATTTGTAGGTAGCTGATGTTCCTCCCATTATTCGTACTTTTGATGGTATCTTTAGCTGGCCTCTTCATGAATACTGGTGTTTTAGCTGTAAACAAGTTTTAATTTTTCAAGTTTGACATTTGTATAATTCTAAACTGTTTTTGTTTAATGAAACATTATTTCACAAAAAGAAAAGAAACATTCATTTTCATTTTATCAAGAAATATGACTAAACAAGATTAATTAGTTTTTGAAAATTTACCTACATTGTTGCTTGGTATATAAAATCATCTAGATTTCTGAACTTTTTCAAGAAAAAGTTTTTGGTATAGTCTCATCTGCTTCTAAATGCACTAATCACAAAGAGGAAGAAGAGTTTAATTTACTTCTAAATTATAAAAAAAAAAAAGTGTATTTCTATGTTTGGAGTTATAACAAAATTTAAAAATAGCATCGGTGTTTTGGAATGTCAATTCAAGAGCAATTTTGGCATTCTAAACTTACTTTCATGGGTCAGTCTTCATCTTATGAGTCCATAGTCATTTTTATAGAAATGAATTTCTTAGACGTTTGGTGTTCAAATATAAAAGAAAGGCAGAGGCTTGAGTTTCTTATCCGTTCGAGAATGTTTAGGTTCAGAGCTCATGAAGGTCGTTTGAGATAGACAAAATGTGGGACTCCTTTTCCTAACGAAGTAAGAGTAATGAAATTGTACGAACATGGCCCCCAACTTGAGGTCTACTCATTTAATCCTGGCTTGCTAGCAAGGCATAACATATATATATATATATATATATATATATATATATATATATATATATATATATATATATATATGTATGTGTGTATCCAGTTAGGAGGAAAAACAATAAATTAAAAAAAAAAAAAAAACAACAACAACGTATTGGTTTTGGGCAGGACTTAACAAAGCCACCGACACCTTGTCGAGGCATGTATAATTGAATCTAATACATGTATAACGAAAGCTACAGGATGTGAAAATGATCAAAAGCAATGGCCTAACTATAAACTCCATAGTTTAAGAACATATTAGAATAAAGGAAGGAAATGGAATTGGACTTCTCACCAATTTAGCACCTTAAACTACTCTCTCTCGCTCCTTTATTTATTTTTTTTTATTTTTTTTAAAGTCAGATTTGAGAAGGGAAACGTTTCATAACCATTCTATGATCTTGCAATAACTTTTCACAAAATGTTGCAAAAATCTTTGATCATTCTCAATAACTTATCGTACAACAATTACGATAGTATTTTGGGAAAATTATGATAGAATTATAAAGAAGATATTATACATATGTAAATATGGAACTATGAAAATTAACCTATTTTCAGGGATTGTTTACCCTAAACTTCAGCTACCATTATTAGATTAGGTTTTCTATTCTCTCTTGTAACCTATTTAATCCTAGTACCAACATTCAATTTGATATACAAGAAGTATTATTCAATTCTCCAATTCTTCATGGTATGAGAGTAAGATCCATAATCTGCGCTTATAGTTTTTCTTTTCCTCTTCTATCTTTCTAGTCATGTCGATTGATTCCTCAAGCAGTGATAAAGATGATTTGGTGTCTGTTGCAAACATAATAAACAATGTAATCGATACCAAATCACCATATTATTTGCATCCATCAGACCATCCAGGTCTGATTTTTGTCATACAAACTCTAAATGAAGATGGAGAAAATTATTTTGTATGGAGGAGTAACCTCCTCATTGCTCTCCAATCGAAGAACAAGGTAGGGTTTGTGGATGGATCGATACAGAAACCCGAAGTCAATTCTGGAGATTATTATGCATGGATACAATGTAATGCCATAAGCAAATCATGGTTACTTAATTCTATTTCTAAAGAATTACACATAAGAACAGTACATGCCAGCACAGCTAAGGAGATATGGAGTGACTTTGAAGAAAGATTCACACAAGGTATTGCTCCTCGGTTCTATGAACTAAAGAGAACCATTGCTCTCTTATAGTAAGAGAAATCTAGCATCTCAACATATTATGGCAAGCTGAAGGGTGTGTGGAGTGAGCTACAAAACTTGAGACCTTTGCCTACTTACACATGTGGTGCTGCCCCGAGGATAGAGGAGATGCATCTAGAAGAAAAGGCTTTTGATTTCTTGATGGGATTAGATGATGAGCACAAGACGATTAGATCACAAATTCTCAGTCTGGAACCTTTGCCAAAAATAGGGAAAACATATGCTATTGTGGCCTAAGATGAGAAACAGAGAAGTGTGGCAGAAGCAAGGATACCCATGGTGGAGGCAGCAACTCTCTTGGCCAAATCCCCCTTTTCACGAGACCAAAACAAATCATGTATTCATTGCTGCCACTGTAATAAAGCAAATCACACAAGAGAGACCTATTATGCACTAAACGGATACCCACTAGGATGGAGGAAACCGAAAGGGAAAAGAGACAAACCATGAGAGAGATCCACTCTTACTGCAGCAACGGTTGGCAGATTTAGGGTAGCAAAAAAGGGAGATGATTTTGGTCCTGACAGATTTGGTGCAGTGACAGGAGGAGAGGATATCTATTTTGACAGATTGGGTGGAAGAAATAATTCACACATCTTTGGTAGATTTGATACTGCCAGAGATGGAAATAATTCTTCATGGAGCCCATATGATTCAGCGGTGAACCAAGGAACATACCGTGAAGCTCGCTTTGGAGCGCCAAGCCTTGTACCTTCAATTGGGCCGAGGGCCTCTCTTGGCGTGCATGAACCAACAGTCGGATCAGCAGCTTATCAGTTAGGCCATTCCAACCAACAAGCAATCACCCTTACACCAACCCAATTCCAGCAACTTGTCTCTCCCATGGGCAGTAGTTCTAGGCTAGCAGGGCCATCAGCCCACATGGCTGCACAACCTTCTTCCTCTGGTAAGCCTTTATCGTGGATAATTGACATCGGGGCCACAAACCATATATCATACAACATTAGCTCTATGAGTACCACTCATACAAATCCCATTGTACCTCCAGTACAAATTTCCAATGGAGATTATATTCTAGTAAAGGCTTTGGGTCTTGTAGAACTTTGTAATAATTTGACTCTTGAAAATGTTTTGGGAGTCCCTAATTTTTGTTTTAATTTACTCTCTATTAGTAAATTAACTTGAGATTTGAATTATGTTTTAATTTTTGGATCCGATTTTTGTGTTAGACGAGACTCACTCTCAAGGAAGCCGATTGGAGTGGGTAGAGTGCGTGATGGTCTATATCACTTGGAACCAATGGAGGTAGGGAAGGTTCTTATGGAAAAAAGGAGTAATGTAGAATTTTTGTGGCATTGCCACCTAGGACATCTACCACTAAATTAAGTAACACTCGGTTCCACACTTATGTATTAAGTTTGATCATTTGGAAACATTTTATTTTGATGCTTGTTATAGGGCTAAACGGACTCGGTTACCTTTTCTTTATCACTCAAATAAATCTAAGAACAATTTTGATCTCGTACATTGTGATATTTGAGGGCTATATCATACTGCATCTCATTTAGGATCACATTTCTTTCTTATAATTGTTGATGATCATAGTCGTGTTACTTGGGTACTTCTTATGAAACACAAATCGAAAGTTCGTTAGTATCTTTTATTATTTTTTAATTGGGCACACATATTTTCAAATAAGAATCAAGATTTTTTGGATCGATAATGGTCTTGAATTCAAACACTCGGATTTGATGAAACATTATTTTGAGTATGGGATGACTAAGCAAACCAGTTGTACGGATACCCTACAACATAATGGAGTAATGGAACGAAAACATCGACATCTTTTAGAGGTGGCTAGGGTCATCCGGTTCCAAGCAAATGTGCCAATCAAATTTTAGGAAGAATGTGTTTTGACTCGCCGCATACCTCATTAACCATATGCATCTTTCGGTCATTCAAAATAAGACTCCTTATGAGATTTTGTTTGGTGAGCCACCTAGCTATGATCATCCGAGAAGTTTTAGATGCTTATGTTATGGCCATGTTCATAACAAACCATGGGATAAATTTACACCACGATTTAATCCGGGAACATTTATGGGGTATCCTCATGGTCAAAAGGGATATCGAATATATGATCTCGAGAGTCAAAGGATTTACACATCCCGAGATGTGTAACTTTTTGAAATAATATTTCCTTTCGCCAACACTATTGAAATTGGGACCAGCTTCGTATGATTTTCGAGCCATTAATTTATATGATCCATGGATTACCCATCTTGAGTCCATCACTTTATAGCACATCGAGCATCCATCACCCTCTCATTTTAAGTTATCAATGGTCCACAGGCTATTCACATTGAGTCTAATGACTCTCATCCACAAGAAGGATCCACCGAAAATGCACAATCATCTTCACCCATGAGCAGATCCTATTTCATATTCTAATTTGATTGTTGAATCTTCTATATCCGCCAACTTGCCGATCCACTCAACTATAGAAAGGTCGTCCATTCGGGTTCGACAATTGCCTAAACATTTATCCGGGTTTTAGTATACTTTGCCACCTTCCTTCTTGTCATCCTCAAACTCGCACTCCCCACTTCACTCGACCAACTTAATGGTATATCCTCTATCCCACAATATTTCTTATTCCAAATTTTCTAACACTCACAATGCCTTTTTAGCCGCCATCTCATCCGTTGATGAGCCAACATCATTTTCTCAAGCGAGTACAACATAAGCAATGGGGGATGCTATGACTAAAGAAATTGCTTCTTTGGAATCAAATCACACTCGGACCCTCGAACCTCTCCCATCGGGAAAACATGCTATTGATTCCAAATGGGTCTACAAAGTCAAATTTCATCCCGATGGTTTTATAGAACGATACAAAGCATGTCCGGTGGCCAAGGGTTATACTCAAATCGAAGGCATTAATTTTCATGAGACATTTGCTCTAGTTGCTAAACTAGTAATAGTCCATTGTCTCTTGGCTATTGCTTCGATGCATAATTGGGAGGTTCATCGGTTAGATGTTAACAATGCCTTCTTACATGGTGATCTTGAGGAAGAGGTGTACATTATAATTCCTCGGGGTTTTGCTAAGTAGAAGGAGCATCATTTTTGCGGACTTCGAAAGTCTCTTTATGGGCTTTGCCAAGCTTTGTGAAATTGGTACCAAAATTTACTCGATCCTTACTTGTTGTAGGATTTCATCGATCATCATCAAATCATTCTTTATTCACCTTCACTTAATTTGGATCTTTCGTCGCTATCCTTATTTATGTCGATGATGTGATCATCATAGGAATAGACACTGCCGAGATCTCTTGGCTCAAACACTACCTAGATACTAAATTCCATATTAAGGATCTAGGGAAACTCAAGTACTTCTTAGGTCTTAAGGTTGTATGATCACCGATTGGAATTGTCCTCGATTGGCAAAAATATGTGTTTGATATCCTTGCTCGAATGTAGCCTTACTAGTTACAAACCTACTTCTTTTCCTATGGATCGGTAACACAAACTTGCTTCGGACTCTAGTCCTTTATATAATGATTCGGGGCGATATCGTCATCCGGTTGGACGTCTACTTTATCTTACTATCACTCGCCCCGACATCAACTATGCAGTTCATATTCCGAGTTAGTTCATGCATCGGCCTAAGCGAGTCTCATTTTGCTACTGCTATTCAAGTTCTTTCTTATCCCAATGTAGCTCTAAGCTAAGGTATCTTGTTTCCTCTCGATAGTTCTTTATCCTTACAAGGGTATTGTGATGCCGATTGGGTTGGTCGTCCTACGATCCGTCGTTCTACTATGGGATATATTATCTTCTTTGGATTTTCTCCGATCTCTTGGAGATCGAAGAAACAATCTGTTATTTCTCGCTCCTCTGCCGAAGTCGAGTATGGAGCTATGACCACTACTCGCCGGTGAGTTTGTATGGCTACATCGTCTTGTCTCTCGATTTGGGCAATTCACATCCTCGCTCCGGTATCGTTATTTTGTGATAACCATGCAACTCTACACATTGTAGCCAATCCCCTTTTTCATGAGCGTACTAAGCATATAGAGATTGACTATTATTTCATCCGTTAACACATTCAATCTAAACTCTTATCACCTCAACCAATATCATCTCGATCCCAATCGGCCGATATTTTCACTAAAGCACTCGGGAGATCTTGTTTCGACTTCTTGTTAGGTAAGTTGGGCATTTCGATCTTCATGCTCCAACTCGAGGGGGGGGAGTAAAGGAGATATTATACATATGGAAATATGGAAATTAACTTATTTTCAAGGATTGTTTACCCTAAACTTCAGCTACCATTATTAGATTAGGTTTTCTATTCTTTCTTGTAGCCTATTTAATCATGGTACCAACATTCAATCTAATATACAAGAAGTATTATTCAATTTAACAATTCTTCAAATTAGGAGGTGTCGATCGTACTTTTAAGAAACTAGTTATTGTATCATTCAACTATATACTTAATATTTTTTTACTATTTTTTTCATGAATTGATTCAATAACTAATGGTTAATAATTAAGAAATACAAGGCATGTATATTTTTATTATAAGAAATTCTAAAAATAATCTTTAAAGATATTGTATAATTTTCGTATAAATATAACTAAAAATTAAAACAATATTCTTTATATCATATTGTTATAAGAATGTTTTTTTTCCTAAACAAAGCAAGCAAAAATGAGTTTAATTTGTTTTTGGAATGCACGTAAATAATTATTTCATATATATATAATAAGGGTTCAATACATTCGTATCATAACTGAATTTATATTATTGAAAGTTTGTATAAAATAATCTCTTTTTTATTTTTATTTTTTGTTAGTAATCAACTTTCATTAAATGAACTACAAATAATCAATATAATCAATACAATATTAACATCTGTCAATTTGAGAAAGAGTGAAAATGTAATTTTGTTTTTAATTTTATTTTTACTTCTTTTTAAGTTAAAATCACTTAAAATAATTTTTAAAAAAGATAAAAAAAATAATTCAACTAACGATGATTTGCCTAACACTTTACAATATATATTTGCAATTGTATATAACTACTAAATTTTTCTAGTAAACTTAAATCTCCAAATAGTAACAAATCTTTACTGATTTATTTGTTGATACAATTCATTATTTATGATGGTTTCTTCTTCTTCCTCAACAACATCAAGCAGAGCAATTGGAGTGTCAAACTAGGCAAAGCATGGAAAGCTTCATCCTGCTAGAACAGCGGTTCGGGGTACCAAATTTAATGATCAGGCAGCTGCCTTGGGCATGAAATCTATATCTCCCTTACCTATGCAGGAATCCTCAAACGCAGCACCAAGGGTCTCCAGTGCTTTGAAAAATGAGAAACGCAATGCTGACATATCTCTGGAAGTTCAGAACAGAATGTCTTTTCAAGGTCAAAGAAATGGTAATTTGAAGGCTGAGAAAGTTGGATCAGAAGAATGTGGGATGTCACTGAAAAATTCAGACAATGGTTTTACTGAAATGAGTGGGAATGCTTTTTTTTTTTTTTTCAAGGATAAAAAGGAAACAGAGCAACGGTGATGCTCTTGGAAAAGACACCGAGATTACTCTCCGCGATGGATTGCCTGATATGACAACGAACTCGAGTTCTATTCCCAAGGTTGAAAATATAACCTCATTAGTTAGTTTTTAGGATAATTGTTTAGTTTTGGCCGATTACTTCTCTCTCTCTCTCTTATTTGTTCAACAAACCACGATTATGACTAATGTTTTTTTTTTTTCAATTTAAAATCCTTTTTTTTAACTATTTTAAATGATCTTAACTTAAAACAAAATTAAAAAAAATAACGTTTTTGCCTTTAGATTAATAAATATTGATATTTTATTAATCATTCATAAGTCAATTAACGAAAATTAGCCAATCTAATAAAAAAAAGCTCATCAATTATAAACTATATGTGAATAAAGG